TTCCAAAAACGGACGAAAGGAAGGTCCCTGGTACCTCATGGCACCGACAATCCACGCTTGACACACCACAGTATCTACAGCATCCTTCCCGCTCATAAAAATAACTCTCACGCCTCAACATCGGCCGACATGGTACACCAGACCTCTCCACCCTCTCGACGGTCACACTACCTGGTATGACAATCTCCAACGGGGGCACCATACAGTCTTCACAAATTCGACCACACTCACCCTTACAATCGCCCGACGCTCCACGAAGCGCTGCCTCCCGCCGTGCTGACCACAACAAACGCTCTGCCTCGGCTTCTGCCTCCTTCTGCTTCGCCTGCAACCCCCTCCGACGGAAATACTGTCTCCGGACCGCACTACGACCTTCACCTCCATCCACACCCGAAAGAGAACACGCCTCACAGGAAGAATCAACCTCGGACTGGCTACACTGCCCAGACCCGGCAGGACTACCACCATGCCTGACCACTCCTTCGCAGACCTCACCTGACGCCATGACAGAAACAACACCACAAACGTGCCTAAACCCGAGAAGCACCGTCAACGTAGCGTAAACGAAATTCGAATGCTGCAAGTCCCACGACTGCCACTCGCGTCCACAATGACAAATGCCGCCCCACGGGGAGAGAGTCTAACACATCTTCAACTCAAGAACCGCAATGCAAACACCTCAACGGTAGCTCCAAAGCCACCAAAAGCAGGAAGAACGAAGAGAAGAAGAGAACATGCCCTGTCCCCTTCCCAGAAGTGGGCGCCGCCCCCTTCTAATACCTTCCCTCCGGTGGGTCATATGCATTCATCGTACAACTCCTTCTGTACCACTCTCGTGAACCAATCCTTTTGGGTCATCTCCACTCCCCCTTATCTCCTTGTCTCTGGTTCGTCGCTGGCGCTCCTCCCCTCTCTGGCACACTTCCGGTCGCTAGGGCTCCCGCTATGGTGTTCCCATAGCCATAGGCGCACCCTTCCCGTCCGCCCGAGCGAGCATGGCTGCATGGCTGCATGGCTGCATGGCAAAGTGAGGACTGGCGAGATGTTTGTCTAGCACTCCCGCGTAAGGCACAGTACATTGGGCGATCGGCGGGCCCCCGGAACGGGTCATCACTGTACAATGGTGTGTCGAAAACACGGGCAGCGTTGACAGCCTAACCCATCCGATGAACGAGGAGAGACATTGCTTGCCAATGTGATCGGAAATCCAGAATGCTCTGAAGTAGTGGTATCAGCGCAAGTAACTACGTCAACACGTACCCTGTGATGCATCATGCCGAGGGCTGTCGAGGCCAAAGACGAATGAAAGCAGTGTTGCCGTCGTTTTGCGTTCCCGTAGGAGCATGTCATGCCATAGATGGAGGTACGCACTGTACCTTGCTCGACAGGGTGCTGCACGAAAAGCCGAATCTGCTGACCTCCGCGCAACAAGCAGCCTTCTCTTCTGTTTTCGACGAGGCGAGCACGGAGCGACGGCCGAAATTCGACACGATTCGCGGTCGAGCCTAGAGCCGTGAAAGAACCAGCATACCTGCCTCTGGTCTGGAGTGTCATCGGCAACATGCCCCGGCAAGTCAAAGATGCCCTGAAAGACGATGCTTCCCCCCCGGATCGCATCCACGCGACGTGACGCCTGGCGGTCATTTGTACACTTGCCTGCAAGCGAGATGCCAAAGCCCAGTAGGATGCAGGCACCGACCGGCCGGAGAGAAAGCAGGCGAGTTTCCCATTTGGCCGCCCGGGGTCCATCCATCGCTCTAGTGTGAGGCACAATCGGCCCCTACAGCCAGGCACCAGTCGGCCAGAGATTTGTCACAGCCTGGACCGAGGACAAAACAGCGGCTAGGGAGCATTATTGGCCAATTGAAGCTCTTATAAGCTGGCCGACCGACATGACCGTCTTTGACGTTTCACCGGCCGCACGGATCACCTCCACAGGCCCCTCTCTTGGTGGCGTTGCGCATGCCGCTTGGCGTTGCTCATGCAGCTTATGCAGCTTGGAAAGTGTTGGATCCACTTTCAGTCGGATGAAGTCAAATACTTAACATCACCGCTCCCCACTGAGCAGGTAGCATTCGATCTCGATCAAGCTTCAACTGCATGCCAGAGAAATGGTCAAACGCGCTCATGATTTTGGCACGCCGAACCGCCAGAAGCGGACAATGTCTCAGGTTTGGATGGCGCCTTCCGATATGCCCGGCCACGCACTAATCTCATAGGAGCTGGCAGAGCACGTACGAGTACAAACAACGACGAACTCGATCACATCATTTCATTGCTTCATGAGGTTGGTCCCAGAGCTTCGTCAGATGATCTGGATGTCAAGTCTGTGGAGTCAACCTCCTCGTGTGTTGGTGGTCACGCAAGACAAGCTTTGGGATTGGGCGCCACTCGAGTCGACATGTCGTGAAGCCCGCGAAGTAGTATACCACTCGACCCAGCCAATGCGTCTGCCTCTTGGTCCCAAAGACAACCCCATAGTTCGCTTTCGACCGAAGTACGACTGCGTCCATTTCGAGTACTGTCCCGACCCGCTACGCTTCGATATCGACCACGACTGCCACTATTCCTTCTCGTGCGGTCTGATCATGAGCTTGCCTTGGCAGTCCCGAAAGAGCCTCATGAGTCCCGACTGCTGGATACTCCTCAGCCGACTTCAACGCACTAGAAAAGAAGTGATAGTGTCTCTTCTAGAGCTCGTCATTAGTGTGCCGTCTCATTATCAAAACACCAGTCGACCCATCTCATCGATATCGCACAGTGGGGAGAGCTGACAGGTCATGAATGCTTCTGGGAGGACTGGGGACCAACCGTGGCGGAAGCGTGGCTGAGCCTTTCGTGGGACTTCGCATCTAGGTCGAGAGCCTGTCTGGATACGCTCGAGATCACGAAGAAGCTGCTCTCTGCGACTTGCTTGGAGAGCGTTCCCGACAGACATACGTTCTGGACCTGGGACCCTTCCAACCCCGAGTCCGAAGCCAGACAATATGTGCTGTGGGAGTACGAAAGGGACGGCAAAAGGATCCGCGTGCCTTACGGGGGATGCCGAAAAGCCGGTATGGAGGCCGACGACATGCTGGACTGGGTGAAGACGGCCTATCCAGCACTGGGCTGGCGTCTCGTTGTGAAGATTCAGGTGGTACCTCGAGCGAAGGACCCACCAAACTCCGGGTTTACAGTGGCCGGACAGGGTGTCATCGACACGCCTCGAAGGACGACGCACCGCCGTGTGGTCGACCTGCTTCGGGCATCAAGTTTCGAGGGTGTCGGGTTCGGTGGGGCCCTACAGCACCGGGAACGGCAGTGCAGCTCAATCCGACCAAGTCGTCAACGATGCGGTTGACCTACGCCGGCCCCCGTGTGAGCGACCGACAGCTATAGCAATGTGAGGATGTATGCTGTTAGAAAGATGAACTGTAGAATGAGAGATGAGATGCGGTCTTGGAAAGGGCGGCCATGCTTTTTCTGCGCCCAAGTCAGTCTCTCAAGGCGGGGGTGGCTGACCGACGAATTCAGCCACCCCCTCCCTGTGGCCTTTCGTTCGCCATCTATCCCGAGGCGCTGGCAAGTTCGGAAACGCGCCCTGGCCGTCAACGAATGCGTTGCGAGGTGGACGGGATGGTCCGGTGAGGGTATAACACCTGGTAGGACAGATAGCAAGGCGAGCTTCCGAGGACTGTTATGGCAAGATGCAAAGAGACCTGCAGTGAGGCCTGCCTTGGTCGACAGCGCAATTTTTTTTCCAGTCTATTCCAAAGTGGCGCAGTGGCAGAGTGGCATATCTCTTGACTGCAGAAGAACAGACATGTGTAGACAGACCGGGCGGCCACCCTGTGATCTTGGCTTTGATAGACTGTACCACGACGAAATGTGGATCACGACGAATGTCACGGCACGTCTGATCAAATAGAGAGTATCGACAGTTCCATGCTCGCCTTCCTGTGAAAAGTACCTGTGACTGAGCTCTAGATGGTGATGCTGGGTGCACGACGGAGTCGCGCTGGAGTGACGCTTCAGGAGAACATGCGAACACCTTTCTCCTAGGCATACCCACGTCTATTTCTTCTATATACGTACTATATCCTGCTTGTTGAAGCGTAAGACAGCTTTCAATCCATCAGTGCCTAATTGCGCACATTAGCACTCTCCAACTAGATAGTGTGTTCTTTCTTGGATTGATGATCGGCAGTTCGGACATCTATTGCGCCGCTTGAGCCAGTCCACCCCGCAGAGCTCGTGAAACTGATGTTCACATGGCAAAAGAACAACATCTTCACCATTTGCCATCTTCTCGAGGCACACAGTACAATCCTCCATGCTGCTCGGGCCAGGCATGTCGCAGCCCACCTTCCTCCGTTCCAGTCTGCTGATGGCGTCCGTTGAAGCTGGAGGCGCTGCGTTGTTGGCACTATCCAACCCAATGCTCTGCCGAAGCCGGGTGACCACCGTATTCGGATCAAGCGATAACAAATTTGGCACAGGAAACATGCCGATAGAGAGGTCAGCGAAGATTGCCGGGCCGAGGATTCCAAGTTGTGCGGGCACGCTAACGATGATCCTGTGCATTCGACAGCCATACCTCAGTAAAGATTTCGGGCAGGGATTCAAGACGGCGAAGCCAAAGGCTCTTTCGACTTACCGGTGGTCTTTTATATTGTCTCTTCCCCTACGTGAATCGAAGAAAGGTCCATGATGAGAAGCTTGGACTTACCTTCGAATGCCGGACAGGAACCTCAACGGGTGATACGCTATGCTGTTCCCGCCATATGCGCGCGTAGACTGGCCACGCTTCCATGGACTTCTCTGATTACGTGCACGATGAAGGAACGAGCAAGTTATGCCAAGTGTAAGATGATTGTATTCCAGGTTGTGGAAGCCGTCGATGTTGCTGTGATTGGGAGGATCGGAGACGCCGTGACCCTCTCTTCGAAAGACCTGTTGTTCCGTTCGCATGGGCTTCCGCCATCGTGGGTTGGCAGAGACTGCCATTTCCGCAAGTCGTCGGCGATGACTGGTGGTTGTTGTCAAACCACGGCCTACGTCGAGGCAACCGCTCTCGAGAGTTTGCCCTATCGGGCTATTGTATAGCGAAGTTGTTGTCTCGCCTCGGTCGATCAGGTTTGCAAGCTCTCGGTCTGTTGACCATATGCTGTGGTTGCTTCGGGATCAACAGCGTGCCTATGGGTCCAGTCAGGTAGGAAGAGTCGGGACGGCCTGTGCGGACCGTAACTCAGCTTGAGCGCGAAAGAACGCGAATCGGCCGACTGGCAAGGGTGAATCGTGATTCGGCCAATCCTCAGAGTACTGTAGGCTGATTACATGTCAGCCTTTCGTTCTTGGCACCTATGGAGCCAGTGCAGACAATACTGGATGGTGCCAGTTCTGGTGAGCCCCATGACAGTACAACGAGGCCTGGTTCTAGACCAAACAGCGGGTAACCCAGCTGAGCTACCAATCAAAAACAGCACTGCGGACAGCCGCCGTCTGATGGAAACAGGAAGCGCCGAGTAGATAGGGGCTGTCAGGAGATAGCGAAACAGGACAGCATCGGACCAAGTACAGCAGATCGGAGAAGGGCATACTGCCTTGAATTTATATCCATGGGAACGAAGGAGCCACTCGTACCATAGTATAGTCCGTTATCACCGACCATCAGTACTGATCTCGGGCTCACACCACAACCGGGTAGCGCGGTCTTTCCCATCACTGTGCAGGTACGATTCGAAGAGCCCGCTTGGCGGGTTTGGATCATGGCCCAAGAGAAGGCGAGGAATAGCTAGCTAGCTAGCGTACGAGAAATAGGCCCAACAGCCCTGTGTATCGCGACCTGTCCTCCCGTGTCCGTCTCCTGGGCAAGGCCCCGCCAGCCATCAGAAACATCCCTTTGTCCCGTGCGCTGCGTCCCCCTTGAGCGACTCCATCCGCGTTTGTTGCCTTATGATGGATACATCTCTTGGCCAAACCGAAACAAACATCGACAGATGTCGAGTAGAGGTTTGCAGACGCGATGCACAGCAGCCTCGCTGGTTATTATACAAGCCTCCGTCGTTGAAATGATCAGAACCAAAGACAGATTTGTGTGCCCGGCTTCACTGGCAATGCCGTGTTTTGTACGCTCTCCCTCTTCATGTGCGCAACGCGACGCTGCTGCAGAGCCTCGAGATGTTCTTTACAGTGGCTCCTTAGTGGCTCGTCTCGCCGTTACTGAGCGGCACACCGGCACACCGGCCCTAACGCCCTTGCCGCTCCGTGGACAGCAGGATCTTGCCAGGCTCAGCACCCGCGCGACTCAGCACGAGCATTGTTGACGATGGTGGGTAGCCGGCAACCGCGAGTGTTGCTTCGGTGCGGCCGTCACAATTCTGCGGATCATCATCCATAACGGGAGTAACGGGAGTAACGGAAGGTGGAGGAGCATCTTCTCCAAGCACCTGACCCACTTTTCCCTACCTTAGGCTGCGTCTGAGCACACCAAACACTCTATTTCCAGTCACCTACGCTGATTTGGCAAGCCGGCTGGATCCTCGGTTGCCATTGCTATTGCACAGCAATGTCGCGGGTGCAACTCTGCCACCAGGCCAGACCCCACCAGTATGCTATGGCGGCCACTGAAGAGGCAACAGTGCTCTTTGCTAACTTTTGCGCTGCAGTGACCTTGCTTTTTCTCATCGATCAAGCAGCCTAGCAGACAACGTCCATTTATTTCGAAGGACCCCGATCTATACTCGCCCGAAACTATGCATTCGGCAACAGGATAGTTCAAGTGTCAGGGCACCGCGGACAGGCTCAAGCAGGACAAGTCAGTGTATGTCCTGAAAGCCGGCCACTCTGGAATAAGCGTTGCACACAGGAAGGGACTGCAGAGGACCGATGCTGCGGCTCAGATATCGGTCGTGGCTCCCAGACATCCTACCACATTCGCTCAGTCCCGGTACTGGGCTCTGCTGGCAAGCCATGCATCATGCCCTGCGCTCGAGATCGAGGACCTTGCTGTGAGCACACTTCACCTTACGATCACGTCCGCTCGTCCTCCACCATTCGAGCATGCATGCTATAGCGACACTCACGAGCGCTGGAAAGACGCAGTCGACGTCAAACACAGCAAACCGAAAAGACTGCGGGATATAAACACTTCAAAGAGCAAGAACTTTTATTCAACGCTGACCCTTGAGGCCCGTGGCCTGTTTATTCCTTCCTGTCGTCTGCTTCCAGGATGCATCTGCTTACTTCTCGTCATACAAAACGAACAGGCCGATCCACCAGCGCTCGAAAATACTTCATAACGAACGCATGAAGACCAAATCAGTCGTGGGGAATGACATCTTTCAGGTATGTCGTCGAACAGAACTTAGGCTCGTTGGGATCAAAATCCTCCGCCGCCCAACGATGTATGTGAGGAGCTGATTGCAGCAGTATACGACATGAAAAAGGGGACGACAGACTCACCGTGCTGGGTCACCATGGATGTTAGCTCTGCGTCGGCCCGGATATGAGGTGCGAACATCTCTTCGAGTTCAAACATCTTCGTATGGAGATTGTCGACGAATTTCCACTGACGGTACAGGGTATCATAAAGCATAAAACCTTGAAATATGAGCAACCCGACGAGTGCGTGGCTGCTGTCTTGTGTGCTCGGCAATCTTTCCAATACTTGAGTGAGCTTTTCGAGTTGAAGACGACGTAGGGCCTTTGAAACTGCCATGTTGACTTGCTTTGCGGGAGTGCCATTGGAGAGAGTCCCTTCTGAGCTAGGACTGGACTCTTTGAGGAAAAGCATGCTGCTCTGGAGGCAATGGGCCACCAAAAGCAGCAGGACGTCGCGGGCGAGAGAATCTGTGCCAGCCTTCCTGAAGATGGTAGTGAGAATTTCTTGAACGATGTGATCGTCGTAAAAACATTTCCCCAAGAACTTTGCAAACGTTGTGGGCTGCAAATGCTCCTTCAGATATTGCTCCAATACGGCGTCTTCAGGGGGGCCTCCACAAAAGGCCGCCGATGATGTTTTGGCTTCCTTGTTGTCCGTGTTTGGTCCGAAAACCAGCCACTTAGCCCCAGTCGGTACCCGGCATGAAACGACTGACACAGTGAGACGTGGGCCGTAATCGTGTGTGAATTGCTGTTGCTCTTGGTCTTTCCCGCCACAGACGCATTCAACGCCATTTGTCTTATCAAGATCATTGAACCAGTCTTGGAAAGCGGAAGCCATGCCGCCCAAGACTTTCTTCTCAATGTCAGAGTCAAAGAACTTGGGCAGATGCGTCTCTGAAGACTGGGGCGTCGTGCGGCACATTGTCGTAGCCCTACGAAAAGCCGTGCTGGGTTTTCAAGGTTACCACAAATCAAAATACTGCGGCTTTGGGTAGATACGTACGCCATCTTCATTGAAAGAATAGGAAAGGAATATCTCTGTGATGAATACGGCCAAGCATTTGATTGTGCAGCGGATCTGAACTATAAGACTTGGAGGCTACGACCAGGCGCGTTTCTCACAAGTCGGCGACGCCTTGGTTCGAGGCTGACCTGGCGAGTGATTCCACGCGATGGCTGCGAGAAAGCCGCCCGGCCAAGGTTGTGTTGGAGCCCAATCGCACTTCTTGACTTGCGGTGTGCAAGGCTATCTACTTGCAACGAACTGTCGTGTCTGCACGCTGGTTGGAATGGACAAGAGAGGCCGGGAGTGGTGGCCCGAATAAACGGCCGCTTTGTGCCAACAGGCACTTTTAGTAGGATGAATCTTCACCGACTGTCTGATTTGCCCCATGGTAACATCAAAGGTGAGGCGGCAAGGCTTCGATACGTGGCATGGCGTTGTGTTGGTGACTGATTGACGCGACCTGTGGCCGCCTGCGACGGCCATCCAGGTGATTTGTTCTCGACTTCGATGTTCTCGATTTCTAGTTGAAGGGCCTTCCTCACAGCCGAATACAACTGTGATATTCGGCGTTGCATGACGGCCATTGTTGTGAGTGCGGGAGGCGTCTATTCATGATGACGCGTCAACAAGGCAATGCGTAGTTTGAAGCCCAACGACAGACATGTCTGCCCGAACAAAAATGACGGCCAGGAAGAATGGTCCTCGCCCTGAGCGGTTGGCCATCACGTTGGTGAGAATGCGGTTGATCGTCGAATGTATCTCCCACAACAGCCACATGACCCATGCTCGACCACAGAAACAATTGTGAAACGGGGCATTGGCCGGGTCAGAGGCTGCGCATTAGGCTCTCACGCGAGCATGCCATGTCAGCCCGCCACCCGCGACAACTGACCCCGACCATTACAATAGCGGGTGCTCCCTCTTGTCGTAGCCCCCCTTGTCATATCCGAGGAGGACGGCGTTGCCATCTCTGCTCTGGTAGCTGCTGTCATGGGCAGAAAGGCGATATACCAGCGGCTACGTACCTGTTTTGGTGGACAAGGAGTCATCCTGGCCTCGCCCACGGGCCACTGCTGGATCTTAAGTGGAAACAAAATTTCCCGAGGCTTGGCAAGCGGACAGACCATCACTGACCGAGGCGTCAGAACACCATGCCTCTTGTGTATACGCGCCAGCAACGACCAGCATTTATTACAGTCATTCATCACTGACTATTAGCCCTAATTCTGGGCTCGCGCCACAACCAGGAAGCGCGGTCTCTCCCGTGACTATGCAGGCGCAATGCAAGGGGGCCCACTTGGCAGCTTGGAACATGGGCCAGGAGACATGCTTGCATGCTCTAATCGTAGGCGCTGGATTGTCCATTGCACGTGCTACCAACCGTCAGTTTGGTGAGCCCAGGCAAGCTCGAAAACAGCGTTTCTCATCTCATGGAGTTTCCATTGCGGGAAGTGTGTCGTTCGGTTGATGTGGAAGCCCCAACTGAGAATGGGAGCGCTCAAAGCATGTCGTCATCTTCCATTACTGCTGACCCTTACAGTTTGGCCATGGCTTATTAACATCGGTAATTTCTCACGCCCAGGCCCATCCTTCAGAAGACTGGATGACAACGCTTCCCGAGAGCTTCCACACGCTTCGCACAGTCACACTGTCCGCGGTGACGAGGAACTCCTTGCTGTTAAGTCCTACGAGCGTCCTCCCCAATTTACCGGCCCCGAATATCCAGACTGGTTCAGCATCAATAGTCAATGGTCCTCCAAGCTCCCCTTCTAGTGCAGTCGGCTTAACATCGCCTCAACCTTTCTTTCTCGTCCGATGGTGCTCCCCCTTCGCCGACTGGGCCGCTGGCTGACCTTAAGATACAGGAAACATCTGGAATCTCCCCTATACATCAATTGTGACTAAGGTTAAAATGTATTTATTAATGGACGCACATGCAGAGGCCAGCCGTCAGAGCGGAATGGCACATGTGGGTTTCAAACGGATCGACCGCCAGCCGGTTTTCTTGTGTATCGGAGTCGATGTTGTATGAGACCTCTGCAGGAGATGACCGGCAGCAGTGAGTTCGGGGGTTGGTGAAGGGGCTTAGGTTCTCGCCTTGAACTCTTTGAATCGGAGCATCAGATAGTAAAGTGGTTGATCAGGGGACGGCAGGAATGGGATTATGGTAGACAAAGATGTCCCAGCGCGCAAAGAGTATGGCTGTTGAGTTTATTGACGAGCAGCTGCCGAGTTTGACAGAAGCAGCGGTGCACTTGGCCGGTACAACGATCCTTCAGTAGAACTAGAAGAATGATGAGTGGCGACTATCAGCCTCTTGGAATACGCCAATCTAAAGTTGCAATCTGCGTTCGCATTACTGCAATTTTCACATCTCCTTTTGCTTTCGGATGGGTGCCCTCTACAACTAGTCTAAGGTTAAGTTAGAGAAGGTATTTAGAAAAGAGACCAGGCGTTAAGCGTCGATTTAGACCGTACTTACCCTTTTCTCACGACAACGATCGCAGGCAATTTTCTTCTTCGCTTGATAGTGGCGATCAAGGCTCGACATAAAGAATGGTAAAGGATCTCGTTGTGCAGGGATATACGCATGCGGAAGCTCCTGGCTACTTGAAACTTCTCCTTGGCCGCCTGCAAGGCCACGTTCAACATGGCCGTCGTCCCCTCGAAGTAAGTAATTCATCCAGCATGCCGACCGCTGCCCTCTTTGATCCTATACATTTCACAATATTGACAAAGCAGCCGTGGTTAGGTTGAGCGGCGCTACGTTGGATGGGTACCAAATGGCCAAGTCATCTGTAGTTGAGTGAAGAAGGAAGCAGTGGGGATTAGTAAAAGAATGAGGGTTAACCACTTTATTCTCGCTTTACTGCAGTTTCGACATCTCCCTCTGCCCCCAGGCAGGCTCCCCTCCACAAAAAATCTAAGTTTCAGTCAGAGAGGTTTTATTAAGAAAGGACCGGGCGTTAAGCTGCGGTTTCGAATGGACTGACATTTCTCTTAAGACAGCTATCGCAGGTAGTCTTCGCCCGCTGACTCCGACTGATTCGACTCAGGTTGTTTACACTTCGAATGGATGCTGTTGACGGAATTATAGCCATCACACTTATGCTCTTCTTGGTATTACATCTAGTCCGCTGTATTTGAGCGATGAGTGGAGTGGTAATAGGGAATAGTAACGAAAGGAAGTAAGTAAAGTGACGAAGTGAAGAGAGGCGATGCCCTCCCTTTCCGGACATACTGGCTTTTCTGCCCACCAACCCGCAGGTATACTCTTTTTTGGACGTCAATAGATCACCAAAAATAGATTACTCTCCCCATGTCGATACGCCCACCAGAAGGCTACAATCGAGTTCAACCTGTAGTAAGGGGCGATGACAGCCGTAGTAGCGCCCCGTCCCTAGGCCCAAGCAGCAACGCGCTTCTCACTTCAAGGCCCGCAGCCCCGGCCATACATGGAAAATTCAGTGGCTGCTACCTTTCCGACCCCTACACCAACGGCTCTAGCTAGTGCCCTGATGACGGGCTCGCCCCTCTTCGGTACGCTTCAGTTCCGGGCTAGAAGGTTACGAAGACACGAGAGGCGTGTCTATCTATATCGGCGTACGGCGTACTAACACGTTTAACAGCAGTCTCAGGTATGAAATTCTTGACATTATACCAGAGAGCGGGTAATGGGAACAGCCGGCGGGCTTCAATAGCGCATTCATGAGTCGTCTGTTTATTATGTTTCGATCACCTCGCAAACGGGCGCAACCACGTAACCTCGACCATCTCCGTAAATCATCGTCCATTTGTGGCACCGTACGGTCCCTGACACGGGAGCATCGCGACGACCTCGATGCTGTTGCTGGCGCCAATATCGTTAACCGACGTGTGGTGTTATTATTAACACCATCGGACCCTTGCCCCTGAAGCCGCCAAGACCCGTTTCTTACCGCCAGTCGTACTGTCGTGTTGCTAGCGTCCGTCCGCTACTCATTCTTGGTCAAGCCTGCTGTATTGCAGCTCAGCCTTGCCCTTAAGAGGCGGTTCGCCAGCGCGCTCCATATGAGCACGGACACTGGTTGCCTTACGGGGAATTACAAAAATCAAGCCGACCAGTCGGCTGGGCCGGATAAGTCCCCATATGCCCAACCATGCATGGGACTATCGTTGGGCGACCCGCGGCCGATTGCCCTGCTTTGATTAGTAAATATGAATAACCTGCACACTTGGGGTCTCGCCAGGTTACAGGCTCCAGGCAGGAAGCATAAACATCATCATTTTGTCATCCATCTGCAGTCTATCCGCACGCACACAGCCAGGGAAGGAACGTCTCTCCAGCCGCGCTTCCCCTTACCATGGCTGTTAGCATTGTAGCCAAGCCTGTTGATAGCTGGAATTGTGAATATGGCCACAACGACAGACCTGGCTCGATGACATGTGCGGGGGCCAACGCGAACGCGGAAACCTACGGCAACCCAAAAAAATATTGCTTAGCCAGTGAGACGAGTCTGTTTTTGATCTCAAGCGGTGACGTTGTTGAATGGGCTTCACAGCTCGCGTGAACCCAATCCTTAGCTAGTGGCTGCGCCTAAGAGCTCTGGATCATTGATTCGGTGTTGCGGGTTGTATTGGGTCTATTCTTCTAAGAGTGAGGGTTCTGCTGCCGGAGCAGAGAACCCCTTTTTGTCTGTTCGGTTGATCACGTGAACTGAGTCCACGTGATCCTCCGATCAAACAAAGCTATCTTATCTACCTGGTTCAACAGACGTATCTAACAAAGTAGCCAGAGCAGCTCAAGGCAAATTGAGTCTCAACAATAATGTCATCCTCGCGAAGCAAGACAGTGAAACTGAGTCAGGAGTATTTGATGACCCCTACATGCAGCACGTTATTCAGATCAAGGATGGACTGCGAAGCTTGGCGAGACCAGATGACCGCTGTGATCCATTCAAGGCGTTGGAGATGCCGAGACAAGGCGGCTCTCGCTGCACTAAAATGAAGGACAGCCTGTTCGTAGGCGCAGATTCGCGTAGAATTCGAGAGCATCTGCATTAGGAACACACGTGGGACGGACAAGGCGAGCCGTGGAGGAAGGGTCTCTATTACCAGCAAGTTTTAGGGCGTAATATCGGGTTGTCTCTTTGTGGTCTGACTCCTTCCCGAAGTTTTAGCGGACCCCGTCACGTATCAATCAACGAGGTGTGATATCACGACCGGCGGTCAATGACAGTCCAGCCCGCCTCAGGATTCGAACCGGGACCTTTCCATGAGTAGTCTTCTTATCGCAGAAGTCATGCATGTATTCGACAATGAGTGCCTTGCCATGCTTGCTGAGATCCTCACACTTCTTCTTCAGCCGTGGCAGCATGGCAAAGACGAAGTTGGGGTACCGGCCGGATTTGGGGGTCGTGGCACCCTCGGCGGTCGTGAATTTCCACCATACATTGGAGATGGCAGATGGGTTTATCGTCGTTTCATCGAGGCCAACTGTGCTATATCACCCTTCTTCTGAGAAAACTCTCACATCAACCAAACCGTTCAACACTGCCAATAATTGTTGGTTAATATCCGAGTCCGGTTCGCGTCCTTTAGTCAGTCATGCCTGCACAAGATATTGTAGATTGGAAGCACTGACTGTGTCATTGAATCATCTTGGATCCCGGCCAAGTCCCAGCCCAGGAAGTCAGGCAACCCACTGCCATCGCGACTGGCACGTTCTACACCGCGTGAGACTGCGGGGCACAGTTGATGGGTCAAAGTTCACTCGCATGCGACTTCGCTCCGCTGTGGGCCACGGCTGCCGATAACGACAAACGTGCGCAAAGCGCGGAGGTGAGACAGTGGTGTCTTCGTCGACGCCGGTCAGGGTGATGATTTAAATTGAACAAACATGCCCGAGGCTTGTGGAAACATGGGGTGCGGAACTCGATTCAATCTGGCCGAGAAATAAGGTCTGAGGAAACTATACGACTCTGTCCCTCGATGCGTCTACGTTCTGCACCCTCCAATTCTACAGAATTTCGCCATATTTCACGACCATCCGCCGTGTACAAGTATCATACTGTCCCTCCAAATTATAGCTAAGATCAGTATAGCATTCAGCACAACAGACTTGCCTCTAAATCGACAATGATCCCTTCGCCTCTGCGTACCCGTACTCAGCGTACCCGTACTCAGCGCTTTCCACGCCACCAAACCCCAATGCCTTGATGCCGCCATTTCTTCACCTAGGCGTCTCGCTGTTCCGAGAAAGCCTGGGTCGGGCTGCCGTCGGCTGGGATAGAGTCCTGTCGCCGCCCATCTTCAATCACGGCGGATACTGACGGCTGCGCTGAGCTCCCGGTTGTGGATGGAACTCGGGGCTGCCCTGACTGTGGTGGCTTTCCTCCAGAACAATCTGACGTGTTCGACTTGCCGACTATCTGTCCCTTCAGTGCTTGTGTCGGGCTGCGGACCCCAAGTCCCAAAGTCCGTCCAAGTTGTACTTGAGGAGGAGTTGGCCCCTGATCCCACCCGAGACGCGTCCTACCACCGTCTGAGGAAGGTTCTGGTCCTAGAGGGTTGTGATTTGGTCGAAAATCGACTGTGTAGGCGGGTTCGAGTTTGGGGCGCTGGGCTGGCACCGCTTCTCTGACGCCAAAGGCATGGACTCTCTTGGTGGGTGGTTCGCTGCCCGCTCGGTGAATTTTGTAATCTTGTCCGAGTCCAGCCCAAAAAGGTTTTCAAGTCTCTCTACGATCGACTCCGGTTCCATGCCCCCGAGTTCCGTGTCGCTTTCGGAGCTCTCGTCTTCAGAAGTCGAGGCAGGAAGTGCTGGCAATATGTCGTAGAAGCGAGCGAGGTAATTGAGTAGGCGCTTCTGGGATGGCATTGTCGGGGTTCTGAGCGAATAGAGCTCCTTGACGTCGCGAGGAAAGAAATCAGGCTCCAGGATCATGCCAGATGGCGCGAGAATGGAGAGGGTGTCGATGCGGGTGGTCGGGTTCTTGATTGCTCGATTCCGCATATACGCGCGTGTCTGTCGGGTCTGCACCTGGAGCTGTTGGCCTTGGACCTGGAGCTGTTTCAGAATGGCTTCAACGATATCCAGGCGTTTATCTATGCCCGTTCGTATCATTTCGAAGTCATATCGAAAGTTAGTAAACTCTTGCTGCGTCAAGTAGAGCGTGTTGCCGGGCGGTGACATGGCGCAAGCTGAGGCAGCGGAGGCAGCGGGTGTGCCAACGCAGCGATTGAGCATGATGATATGATCGCGACGCATTCGTATCACAGTCAGGTGGAGGCGGGTAATGGAATACTGGTGCACGTGACTCTTGTACCTGGAAAATAGATGATCCGTGAGGTTTATAAATCCACAATAAACAGTGGGTCGGTTCTCACGCCACATCCGCTGTTGCAGCCTCTGTTTTCGAGTAGCCTCCATGTCCTGAACAAAATTTGTAAGTTTTCACAATCCGCAACCTTGAGTGGCGTCTGTAACTTTCTCGCCTGGCTTAACCCCCTTTCCTTGGCAGCATGCCGTGTTCTTGGTGCTATAAACATAATTTGTCCTGTCGGACAGGTCCTGATTCATCTCGCTGTGCTGTTTGCATAAAGCGGGGTCGATCATGTGACGGACTAGCCACTTCGTCGACAAGTGAGTGACTCCTCTCGCGTGACCGCATATCTGGTACTGACGATTGCTACGTAGTAACAAGATATTCCACAGTAGTGGAGGATCTAAAGCGTCAGGAAGACCAAGCCGAAGCGAAGCTCAGCGAACTTCAAGAACAGTTAGCCGCTGCTGTGGCTCGCTTGTCCCGGCTACGCAAGACTAGAAAGGCGACCGAGGACCGTATGAATCAGCTATTCGCTCGATCGATGGCAGAGCTAGACGAGGAGGATAATTGCCTCCCTCCAGAAACGGTTCAGACTCGAATTATTAATGACCGGGCGGAATGGGGCCCGCCGGATGAGATTGACTGGTCTAAATACGGGTTTGACACGGGCTCATCACCCGAGTTTCCTGTATATCCACCTAAGTCGCCTTTACCATGCGACTCCTCTCAACCTGGTTCGCCAGGTTTATAATTCCAACAACCCTTACCGCCCATCATTCTTAATGAAAGGTCCCCCCCCGGAGGTGGCTTGCCCATCGCTCATCAGTCTCCCCCTGATTCTGTATCGGGTGATACAGTAATGCACTCAAGACCTCGCTCTATGAATTACACAGCGTCTAGCCTCTCATCGTATTCTTGGTATTGGGTTCTGCACCACATGACACATACACACTCTTGGGTAAGTGCCTACTGTAACTGCTGCGCCCAACCGCTGTAATAACGGATGAGTGATCCCGCCGAGCATGTATTCAAATGTACGTCTGTTAGACAACCTTTCTAAGGAAATCATGGACAGGCTCAGAGTATCGTCCATTGCAAACCTTCATCATCCATGATTCGCGAAAGGTAAGGACTTCTGTCATGAGGGACCTGCGGAGCCACGGATCGGCGGGGCTGGTTAGGGACAAGGGACTACGAGGCGTATATATGAGGGTTGCGGAGGGCCCTCCTAGCTTGAGAGGGCTAGAATTCAGATGTATACCTAACGATTGACCGCGGATATCACCTGTGCAAAACCTCTTCATTATGCTCAACCCAACGCTCTGACAAGACGTGCAATATACTCTTACGACCTGGTAGCTTGCAATGGTTTTTGCTGCCCCAGTATCATCCAGAGGCAGCATTTCTTACACGAGACGCTGGAAAAATGGGGCGGCATGTGTCGAAAGTGCACAACAAAACACCGAAGATATGAAGGTAAACAGCAGCCAGCCACGTTGAAGCCACGCAGACTGCAGGCTTCCTTTGCCAAGGTTGAGCCGCTGTTCAGGATCGCATTGTATCAAATTTGTACTGTAGTAATGGCGTGAATATCCGTCAATCTAATGCCAATGACCCCGAGCGCGTACATGGAGGAGTAGATCATAGACCAGGTCCGTGTGACACATCATCGTTGTCTTCCCAACTTCGAGATCTAGGTATTTTGGGTTGGCATACAAGACCTTAACCACCGTATCTCGCATCTCCCGAACCGCTTCTACAGTGGACGTATAGACGTACTCTGCCACAGAGAAGAATTCATCGTGGCAAAGCTTTGATGAAGATGAAGTGAGTTCTTTGAATTTAGCAAGAGACAGCGCCTTCAGCCCTTCAATGCTGTACATCTCCGCGAGCGCAAAGATCTTAGCGTGGTGCATCAGGCAGTCCCTTCCTGAGGGCGAAGATTCATCCGACAGCACCAGCGAAGTCGTATCATAGTTCGACTTGTAGAAGTACTGGACCATACAGTCCACCGCCGTTGGATCGTCCTCAACAAGGCTGATGCTTGGTTTTTCGCCTTGAGTGTGCCACTGGGGGCTGCATTTTGTGGCGAAAACCCTAGAGCGCGAACAGACAACCAACCTGTGGACTTGATATTCTCCTTTGGACGTAGAGATCGTCAGATCCGAGTGCTCCCCAGTGAGCAGCAAGCTACAATGCCAGCATTAGAGCGACGTCTGGGAGATCGCTCAAGCAACATACCTTTGAATCTCGCTCAGGAAGTCTGCTTGATCCTTCTGAACTATGGCCATAACTGGTGTGGCGACGGGAGGCGTTGGTTTGGTTTCTTTGAACAGGTCTGGAAATCTCCTCTGAGCTATGGAGTCCGAAATGAATATGCCGTCCGCAAGCAGGTCTTGGAGGATTCGGACAAGCTCGTCGTCTGAGTAGGTTGCAACCTGGAGGTAATTTGCTTCGACTACTTTGCGGATAGCCTTCTGCTTCCGTAAGCAGGAATTCTCGTATTGCCCAAAGACTCTCCTGCAGGCCGTGGAGCGATAGACGCGGATCCGGTCATCTCGTGAGACCTCCATTTGTGATTGAGGAGGGACATCGTGTTGTGCCACAACTGACCATATGTTGTTGTGTGCACGGACCGCATGTTGGCAAGACGACCCAGCCTTGCCAGTACTTCAAGACATGATGTAATTATGACTCCCCTCTAGTGGTCGGGACGGGCACACAGCGAGCGACCGTAACGACATGTGCTACAGTACCACAACAACGCGCCTCGGACGCATTACTAGATCAGAAGTAGATAAACGTGAGCGTCACAAAGTTGAATCCCGGGTTTGGCGCGCGTCCATGCCGGGGCTATTGCGGACAGATAACAATCCATAAACCCAATTCATCTTAAAGACGAATGAGCCTCCACCAGCGACACCGAGTCAGTGATGGGACGCGGAAAGCACAGTGATGGTGGGTCAGCGTTAAGGGTATTTCAGGCGGAGACGTTGACACTGGCCGATTGATGTAGGCCGCAGATCAGATACGTCGCTGCGATAAGGCCGACAACGACAAGGAGAAAGCCCTGCCGACCGTGACACCAACACCGTTGACGCCACTGTGGCTAGCGGCATTTTCGACACCACCCACCGCAACCACCACGACAGCGGCGGTCATATCATGAACAAGATGTCCTCGGATGTGTACAGTATCACGGCGGTGTTAAACTAGACTTTCAGGCGTTCCGCAACGGTGAGGGCACGTGGGGCACTCTATACTGCGTTGGCCGTGGTGTTATTTGGGCTTGCTGTTGCTTCAATTGACGTGATGTTTGAAAGTAGGGTGATCGTACGTGGCATGTCTTCGAGTAGGATCGCGTTTAGATTAGCGACGAATGACAGCCGGCTGATTGGGAAGAACCGCAAGCCCCCTTTATCTTGAGAGGAAGATGGTATAAAGCAGGGAACCCGGTCGCCAGAGGCAGAGGACGAGTGGCGTAATTTGATGGGACGCTCTCTGTGCTGGCCTTCGACAGAAGCCGGGCAACGTTTCCGTGCTGAAGAGCGACGACTTTTTAAGTGCTCCAGTGGTAAAAGAGTACCGTGGTCTCCGCTGTGGCCTTCGAGAAGAGTAGAAAAAGTGCAATGGAGTTTTTAGATCGTTTGCAAGGCCAGTCGGTATCTGGTACTTTGTTGCAGCAAGGCTTTGTATCAAGCGGCGTGTGATGGTTTTGCTGTCAGGCATACCGGAAGGAGGAAGAAGGTTGCCAAGGGTGCAACGCAGACCACTGTTATGCTGTTCTCGCGCAGCGGTGAACAGACGCTTGGTCAACTCAACGGGAGACATTTGGAGAACCATCGTTGGAGTAGCTTCTCGACGCGATGGTGGCAATTTGGGACTCTCCCTCCGGAGCTCGACGGACCAGCGCTTCGAGAATGGCTCCCATCGTCGGCAGCTCCACGGCTTTGGTTGGCATAGCAGGATGAAGGAGCCCAGCTCATATGGGTCAAGATGCGGCGACTTTTTGGTTCTACTCATATTCCATTCTCGGATCTACAATTTCTCGAAAATCACAGCGGTTCAATTGCTTACTGATGCCTAAGGTCTACAAAGAGACTGCCAGGCGGAGGCTAGCGAATATTTAATGTCATCCCTACACCAGTGCATCTCACATCTAATCCTAGAACTCTGTCCGAAACTTGCTGTGTTCGGCCACCAATAAAAAGTAGTCCAGAACCCAAGCTGCAAAGCCCGCTCCTTCTTGACAAGACGTCAGTCGTAGAAAGGCCACCCGTCTCCAAATTCAATGTCAAGCTCTTGGGGAAATGTCTTCCTCCGACATACGAGATGCCCGAGAGTCTCTTCAGTTGATAATTCAGACTTACGGTAAAACCAGAGTCGTTCCCTTCACCAAGGCGTGTAGTAACATATCGCCAGGAGTCGGAAGTCTCAGGCCAGTCGTACGCCCAGACGCTCACGCGGACCCTTAGATTCGCATGGAGCATTCATGCGGCAGGACGACATTCATCTCAAAAGGGTCGATCATACGGTTAAAAAAGCGTAATAGAATATAGGTAATGTCACTATTTATCGCTTTCCAGTCTAAAAAAATTGCTTCCGCTGACGAAGATGCAAATACGCAACATTGCAAGCTGTCGCCAGCAACCTGAGTGCTGCGTGAGAGCAAGACTGACTAAGGGAGCTCTTGAGAATTAATGAATCCCGCACAGGGGCAACCTGCTACTCGGCCGCCAAGGGTTTGCGACCTTGAAATTAGGTCTAGGAAGGGGTGTCAGTTCGACCGTGTTACAATTGCGTGCGGAGAATGAAGACTTACACGATGTAGTACGGTCGCAGTTTCACATCACGAATGGCCTTCCTCATATTGGCGACCAGAAGCAGGATCTCGATGTATTCCCAGCCCATGATTTCCTTCAACAGGAACAGGGCAAATCCCTCTAGGCTCTCCTCTAGGAAAGCAAGGTTGTAGATGCCAACCTCCTTCAGGCGGGGATCACTGCTCCAGCCGCCACAGGGGAGCCGGTAATCCTTGACAACAATATTCTCGAAGCCAGCCTGCTCCATGTAGCGCTTCTGCGTCCATCGAGACCGATCTTAGCCGTCTTGCCGAGCCGGTCCATGGCCTCGGTGAAGACTTGGCCCCACTGCTTGAAGACGTGTTTCGGGTCATCGCGCACCGAAGGTGCATCGCTGCACAGGCTGATGGTGAATTCGAAGTTCTCCAGATAACCACCAGGCTTGAGCGCCTTGAAGGCCTCGCCGTAGAGCTTAGGCCAGTCGGCTATGCTGCCGTAAAGGGCACGGATGTGGATCAGGTCGAAACTCGCGGGCGGGTACGTCCACTCCAGCTGGGCGTCATCAATGTGGAACTTGCAGTTGGGTGGCACCCAGAAAGGCTGGATGGGGCTGATGTCGAAGCCGGTAACTTCGGCGGCTGGGTGAGCGTCGGCGACATCAATGGCCCAAATTCCGGTGCCGGTACCGACATCAAGTACGCGCTTGGGCTCGTCAATTGGTGCCTCATAGAGCTTATCGCCGAGAAGCAGCGTAATGAAGTGATGAGCTATATCAAGGCCGTCATTCTGGCGGTCGTCGTTGGGGCCGTCGACTTGTAGCTCTGGAACGTACGGCAATGGAGCTGGCGGTACTCGAGCATGCTGCTCGTCAACGAAGCCGTCGATGAAACGAAACTACAGCACGAGTGAGCTATAGACTCGGCGAAATGGAGACTGTCCGTGCTACCTTTCATTATCGATACCTTCGTCACTATCAATATCCGACTCTTCCTGCGCCACACAGTTAGAGCAGCACTAAGATGCTGATTGAGGCCTTACGAAAGGGACTTGATCTGCCGTGATATGCTCCTGTTCGTTGGCTTGCTCGACAACCTGCTCTAGGTTCGCTGGGCTTCCTGGGGCGTCGGAACTGGGCGATCGCGGAGATTTGGGCGACCGAGGAGATCTCGGTGAGGGAGATTTCTGGTAAGATGGACCGGGAGGTGGGGAGGTGGCCGAAGCCTCCAGGCTTGCCGACATAGTAAGGAGATTCCGGGTGTGGTTTAGCTGCGTGAGATTGTTCCACCGGAGAAAATGACTGGATTCGACGGAACGGGACGAAAACCTATGCTCGAACCAGATGAATCCAGTAATGGCGAGGGAGTCGAGAGCTCAGAGGCGTCAGGCGCGTGAGTAGGGTCAAGGGAGGATGCGAGTGCGGATCTAGCCACGAGAGGGCAGATGCCTTGGCATGACACATATCGAGTACCAACAGACCCAAAAAAGCAAACCCCGCCCTCGAGTCGGTCGCCCTATCATGCGTGGCTTGTCTGGAACACGGGCTCGTACTTGATGGGAGACACTGACGTGATTGGCTTTTGCGCCCATGACCATGTCTGGCTCTCCATTCCGCTCCCCCCGTTCGCCCTACGCCGAATCTGAAAAACATCCTGGGCATGGCGCGCTGAGGGACTATGAGGCCACTTGACGAATGGTCATGTACGTCGTCGGGACTCAATGTGTCCGATATGCGGCGAACGCTGTAGCTCCGCCATGCCGTCACCTTGACAAATTGGGAGATCGTCCCTCACTATCAGTATCTACTCGCGTCCGCAGGTGCGAAACATGCTTACTCTATAACTTCGACATAAACACGCATAGACCAACCACCCCACATAGTACAAGTTGTCGTCAAGTTTGTAGTACACGCCTACTATGTGACCGAGCATCGGGGCGCATCACTTCCTTACCGACACTCCTTTGGGAATGCTACACATGCACGATGTGGCACAAAAGGCGGCGGCTACTTCTTGGTCGCCATCAAGTTTCCCCTCATCTCTCCGTTTGCTTGATTGGCCAAACGATGGAACTGTGCTGTTGGAGCCAACTAACCTCTGGGTGTATTTGATAGCTTGAGACCCGGCGACTGTTTCGTTCTGGCCAACGACCTATATCTCTCGCCCTTGCCGGATAAGCCTTCCACAAGTTAAGCTCATCTTCATTAGTTTGCGATCTATGTATGCCTTATCTCTGTTATAGGGAAGAAGGGGGGTTAAGGTAAAGACGAGATGCTTACAAGGTGCAGATCATGGCTTCCGGCCCCATCCAAGTCCTTGTCAATGCCTGTGACTTCAGAACGGGGTATCGCTCTGATGGGTCCTCCTACCGATATAAGAGCTGGGATTGCGAGCAGGCGACCTGCAAATACTCAAGCAACTATGTCGCACCTCAGTAGGATGGGGCTTGTGACGAGAGCATCGCCTCCCAGAATGATGCCGAGGACGGTGGAACTGGGTAGGAACGGATAGGCTATCTCAACTACACACAACAGAGAGCGGACAATCAACCACGAGGTTTCGTAGTCTCGATAGATTCGAATAGTCATTGTCCGGAACAGCAAGCTTGGACGTGAGTTCCCAGCCCGGCGTGCATGTCTTGGGACCCAACTCCATACCTTCGTGCTCGCAGGAGTCAAAGTCAGTAATTACGACACCGTCATTGTCGTCGACCATGATGTTGCTGGGGTTCAGGTCATTGTGGATCAAAACCTAACGAATGCAAATGG